CCAACATGTCAAGAGTGCAGTCCGACGGACAATGTTCAACCCCAAATGCAACCAAGAGGCGAAGCAGCTCAAACTTCTCGTGGATGTGCTTCATCGCCACAGCATTGGGGTTCCTCCACCCTTGGCCCCCCTGGGAGGGGTAATTCCACAAAGAGGCAATGGAGAAATCCCTCACATAGCGCGAACCCTGCTCTGAGTAGTTCCAGAGACCGATGAAGCCCTCGGACAGTTTGACATTGACAACTTGAACAGGAAAACAGAGTCGACTCAAAGAAAACTCACAAGCAAACTCACAGGGACAAGCAGCAGATGCATCCAAGGAACGGCAATGACGTTCTCTTGGAGCTGCAACCTTTGCAGGTTGCACTGCACGTCCGGCGGGAGCATCTTGATCAATGAGAGGTTGTTCTCTGGAGGCGGTGACAAAGATGATGCGGCCTTCTCCTCATCGGCAGTCTTGTCTTGGTCCTAAGTAGTCAAGTGATGGGCACGACTTGAATAGAACGTCATGAGTCATGAATGCATTGTTGCTCGTTACCCATTACTGTAAGCCTAGTGGCAATCCATGTCCTCCAATTCTCCTTCGGCTCGACCTTCATGGGCTCTTCAGACTTATGGTCACGGTCATAGTCCATCTTGCTGAAGGCTGTATCCCAGTCTTCTTCATCTTCTTCAACGGTCACCGCTTCATGTTCTTCCTTTGGCATCGCCTTCGCCTTCGGCTTGGGTGGGCCCTTCACGGATACGGATGTGGTACGTCCAAGTGGAGATTGACCTTGAAACTCCCTCTTCCACTGTTCCAGCATGTCGCACAGTTCAGTGCCAAACGCAACGGTGAGGTTGTAGGCGCAGGCTGCTGCCAACCTGAATAATAATCAGTCAGTGATCAAAAGCAGGACACCTTCATGTGACCATGCGACTATTCCCATTCCATCTGACCCAATGCCATTTCAAGTCAAGGAACCCCCAGTGCGAAGGGAGCCAGTAGCCGCAGCGAGCTTCAATGAGGTACACCAGGATTATCACCACTGCAGCGCTGCGATGATATCCGGCGGAGCCTAAGCAAAAGGATGCATAGGAGGATATGCTCAGACTCCCCTATAATATAGTGGCAGAACAACCGGGGGAATCTGGGATGGCCTGGGTTGTATTTCCATGGGGAGGGGTATTCCCTTGGGGGGGTGTTTTTGAAATGAGAGAACCATGCCAAAGTTTATAGCGTCGGACAAGTTGTCAACGGACAAATGCAAAGTTAAACAGGATGGCCATGGACTGACATTGAAGTCGAGTTTGAAATCACGACAGGCTCTCAAGTCAAGCTACATACAACCTGCAGCAGGATCCCATGCTTGGTTCCCTTGTGGAACTTGAGATGGCTTTGAATGATGTCCCAAGCAAACTGAACAGCCTGCTTGCAGCCCTCCTGCTTGGCCATGAACTCCAAGAATTTGGCATCTTCCAGGACGTTTCCTCGACAACCAGTAACAATGAATCAGACTCAGACAGCTAACAATGACTCAGCTCACAAATGACCCAATCATACCCAATCACCATAATGTCACTTAAAAACACTTGACCAAGGCACCGTTTTTTTCCAATCTTCATCATCCTCGTCAATGTCCTCGTTCTCATCATCTGCAGGGTTGTGCTTCATGATCTTTCGCAGGTCAACCATCACTTGTGTGTGTTCGCGTGCTTTGCCTCATGTGCCACAATATTGAATAGTTAGAGAGACTCAGATGTCAGATGAATGAGATTTCCCTAAGAATCACTTCACAAAGGAATGGGTCAAAGGTCACAAACAGGTTGGGACAGCAAGTGACTTGAATCGACTTTTGGGGCCTTAGGCAACTAGCGGGGTGCCACTTATGTATCACCTGTCAAACTGTCAACTGTCAACTGTCATCAACAAAACTCGCAGTAGCCAATCGTGGCCAAATGAATGGATTGTATCGTATTGATTGATTTTGGCCAAGATGCTTTTGCAAAAGCCCGGCATGAAGTCCTTGCCCTTCTTCCAGCCATGGACTTAGCAGTTCATGCCATGTCAAAGAAGCCAAAACAAACTTCGAGCACTCAGCACTCAAAACAAGCACCAATTATATAATTTAATCCAAGAAGCAGGTCTTGTAGTCGCGCTCGACTCCCCAGGCCACCAGCAAGATTTGATTCGCCATAGCTCCGGTCCACAAGCAAAATCTGATCTGACCTGAATTAAATTGATCATTTATCACCTGACATCATGATGTATGACTTCATGGGTCACATGCCCAGGGCCAGTCCGACGAGCAAGTCTGCGGCTGTTAGGGTCGCAAATCTCATGATGAAGCACAGTGCCAAGGGATCACAACTCAAAGGTCACAATTTGCGCAGAGAAAGACTACACAAAGGTGACTGGAACAGTACTGAAACAGCTTATTGCCAGCATGCTCAAATTGAGGTCCCGGACGGTCTGTCGGAGGTCGAGGCCAGATGAAGCAATATAACCTAAGCTCGCTTCATGCTGCAAAAGTACGATCAAGCCCGTTGGACCACAAACCATGCAAAAGATCGATCCACCCCAAAACTCCAAATTTTCAAATACACTCGGACTTGGACTGATCAACTCACGTGGACCATGCAACTTCCATGAACGTCAAATCTCTCAAAACTCTCCACAGACTGCAAAAGCTGTTTTACACCACCAGAAAGTTAGATAAGGTGCTGCACAAATTAACTGTTCAATCCTTTCTTGGCAGGTGGAAACGACTGCTCTAGAGTTTAGATGTCCGTCTAGGTCATCGATTTACATGTCATTCCTGCTTGAGAATCTGAAACTGAATCCAGCCTGCCATAGGACACGAATCCTAATTGCATGGGTGGCGTGCTTGAATTATCAGCCTGTAGCCGCACACAAAACATCACCGTGTTCAACTGTGTGTGTGTGGCGATGTGTGGCCCAAGTCATCATGTTCAAACTCTAAGTGCATCACTTCCAAATGGTGCTGGATGGAAGTCAAGGCTGCGAGTCGCCGCAAGTTCTCTCTAGCTTGAAAGGCGGCTTTCTCAAACTTTCTCTTGCTCCCAGAAGTGTTTGGTAGCACCGGGTCAGCAACTCCCAATCTTTGAAAAGCCATTCGGAGGCCATCCAAGAGCCTTTCTCTTTTCAACAGGCGAGTGTCCAAGTCCAAGTCCAAATCTTTCAACTGAACACTGACTGTAAACTGAGCTGCTGTCGTTTTGGGCCCAGGTGGCTATCGATTCAGTCTTTGTTGACCTTTGACCCTGGACATCGTCTCATTGGCCATGAAGCCCAACGTGCTCAAATTGAGGCCCCCGACAGTCCGTCGCAGGTCAAAGCCACACAAAGCAGCTTAGCCTGGCACGCTTCACGATGAATCATTATTATGAAAAGACCGAACGAAGTCCTTTGCACAGGCTGATCTATTAATTACGTCAAAGGTCGAAGTCCTCTCGATCTACAAAGTCCGTTGAGGTCGGTCAAAGTCTGTCTACTATGTCGGTGTTGGGGTCGACTAGAGAACTGAAATGTTTTGCATCTATCATGTCATTCCATGCAACACGCCATGAAGCCCAATGTGCTCAAATTGAGGACCCCGACAGTCCGCCGTAGGTGGAAGCCACACGATATCCTGGCAAGCGCGATCACGGTCCGTTGCAGCTTGACTCATGCCCGTCGAGGTCGATCGATGTCCGGCGATGTCAACGATGACCACTGTCCGTCGTACTCAAAACAATGAAACATGAAGAGCTGCCAGCAGTCTTTTGCGCTCAGGGCCATTCAGGGCTCACTGGTTGATTCCATCCGCTAGATTCCAAAGACCCAATCATTTGACTGGAGTCGATTAAAAGCCCCAAAGTGATCTAGATCAGGTCCGTATCTTGCAAGTCCCAGTCCTCCACTTTGGTTAATGGGGACCATTGGTGGCCGTTTCAACCAATAAGGATTCAAAACCATTGGGGACCATTGACTCTGCGATCTTCCTCACTTTGGCATCACATTAGAGCTCAAAAGGCAATCGAGGGGGTCTCAGAAATGTCCGGAGTCGTCTCAAAGCCGAAATCTGTTCCTGAGTTTCACATACGCACTCATTGACATATCATTGTTCGTGCGCAACAAAACTCAAACCGAAATCTGTTCCTGAGTTTCACATACGCACTCATTGACATATCATTGTTCGTGTGCAACAAAACTCCAATACTCTAAAGACAGATCATGAGCCAGGGCACAATCAAGGCCTCCAAGTTGTTGATAAAATTCTCCCTGCAAGGATCATCTTCACCATCTTCATTGCGGTCATCAAAGTACCGTCCGTCATCCAAATCGCCTAAGAGAATTTCTTGACCTGAGTGCAAGCTGACTGACTTCCAATCTGATGGTCAACAATTGAACAGTCCGACGGACAGGCAGAATGCAAAATCGATGGGCAGAGATGGAGGAACTTCCAAAGCAACGGACTAGGAATGATCTTAGACTCATTAGCCCATTGAACATACAGTCCGACGAGAAAAATCACTTAAAGTGACTGAATCTTATGCGCTCCAGCTGGTCGATGATGAGATCAAGGGAGTTGATGACCGCCTGCAAAGCCGTGCGAGTTCGATGGGACGATGGGGAACATAAACTTCAAGTTGAAGCTTACCAGCTGGCCTCAATCTTTGGCTCAGCAAAGATAGGGGGCATGCTGAAGTCCGGCGAGAAAGGTCAATGTCCGTTGGGTCCGGAGGATTTGAGTCAAAAGCTGCGGTCCAATGGCAAATGAGAAGGCTACTGGTACTACCTGCCACAACACTATTTTGAGCAAAAGACTCCAGAAACATGCCAGGCAGACCTCTGTGTTGATGAAGATGAGGTAGAACGAAGCACAGCAACAGCAGCAACAGCAGTAAAAATAGGATGTCCGGCGAAGCTATGTATTATGAATATCCCAGAGTCAATTTTTACCCAGAGTCTGATTTAAAAAAATTGCTGATTAGGTGGATTCTGTAACCATTGGCAGGCCATGGTGCTGGAGGAGCAGTTCATCCAGAAGTGCCGCGAGGCCTGGAATCCACACGCCACGCCCCATGGGCGGAGGGCGGAGATTCATCGAAGTTCTATATAAGTAGACCACCTCACTGCCAGTCACCCTCAAACACATGACAAAAATCGTGTTCACATACAAGAACTATGTGTTTTTTGCTGGGGGGAGAGCCCGGTTTTTCATCCCCACTGCCCGCCTTTTCCAGGGTCACTGAACTTGGAGAATTTATGGATTCATCGTTCGTCGAATCGTTTTTCTGCCGGAGGCCTTCAACACCTTCGATCAAGATGGCAGCGGCACCATTGATACCCAGGACTCCGCGGGGTGCAAAGCAGTGCTTCTCTCTCAGGAGTGGTGCCACCCGCCAAGAGAATTGAAGAATAGATCCCAGACACGAGCTGTTTGGGACTGGCATATTTACCCACATTCAGGTGGTTTCAGGGGTCCATTGACCAACGGCATCTACTCCATACATGGAGTGTCAGAAAGATGAGATACATCCGATGGAAACGCCGAAGTCACGGGGACCTGCTGATTTAATGGACTAGGAAAGCAGCGTGACAGTAGATTGCTGCGTGACGTTTGTTTCGTACCGTCTCTTTAATCCTACGTGACACTGTGCGAGGATGATCAGCATTTTTTGCGCGGCGTGGTGTAGCTGTAACACGCAGACGGAGGGGATTTGGTTTTGCTTAAGGCATCAAGCCAGGCTCAAGGGTGATGTTTCGTTTCCGGGAAAGCCACCTTCTGTGGAACATGTATTCCTGGACAGCAAATCCAAACCAAGTGTGGCCTCTCCTCGGAGACTCGACTCGAGACCCGAGGGGAAAGAGGGCGCTCGCCCCGAAGCTCAGTCCGTGGCAAGGGACACGGACTGAAACACAAAAGGAAGAAAGGTATAATATATATTCTATAATATACAGTTTGCTATTGGGTTGGAGACCATCGCTACTAGGTTGGAGGCCATCGCTACATTTTAGCTTTCTGTTAACTAAAGTGACGAATTGCTTTGGTTGCAGGGTCAGCCTCCGCAACTGCAAGGAAGTGTTGATGACTCTACTAATGTGCCACATTCTTTGATTTGAGGTCATGTGAGGGGCTACAAGATCCATGAATCAAAGCAAAGTTGATGTTATTATTGCTAGAGTCTAGAGGAGGGCTGTAGTTCTGAAATACTTCTGAGTTTGCGCGACTGCATGAGGAGATGAAGCTCTTATTGGAAGCCATTGGAGAGGCCAACCATAGTGGGGTCCTGGGGACGTGATCCGGAAGTGAAGGTTGCTGGTCAGAATTAGAGTCTTTACAACCAACCATGGTTTTGAGGACTTTACACTACAACTCCAGGTCAACCAACCTCTCCAATGGTCGAAATGGGCTGGTTGAAATGGGGTCAGTGGCCTTCACACTCTGATCAACACATGGAAGTGCAAAGGGAACATGGCCCATCATGGCCCCTTGGAATGACTACCTGCCTTTACAAACGGACGGTTCATGGGCGCCCACTTCCATGTGTTCGTCGGAGTGTCTACACTTGGAGGGTCGAACACATCTCTCCAGACTCCTACTTTGTTTGGAGTCCATTCCCGCAATTCTGGCCAAGGACGGCATCCAAGGCCAAGGTTGACCCTATGTGGTAGACGGGCTGCACCCACTCCGTGGAACTGGCATATCTCAGAAATGTGGGTCCAGGCATCAATGTCGGCAGTACATGTTCGTACAGATTTTTGTGTTCCCTGCGGGTCCAGGGACCATCCGGCCATCTCAGATGTCCTTTCCGCCCTATCTAAGACCATTCGACCTGGTTTCGTACGTACTCACCTCCGGCAACAACCATCCGAAGTACGGATGGTTCCTGGACGCTTAGGGCCTATAGGGTTTGGGACCCTTAGGGCCTTAGGGCCGGGGAGATGACAGGAGTGGACGCATTTGGTGCTTTTTGAGACCGCCACCCAATGCTTTAGAGTGAGTCGAGATCGTTTTTGAGTCGAGATCGTTTTGGGGTCGTGCCCATGGAAGGGGTAAGTACCTAGAGGACCTAGACCCTGAGTGACCTCTATCAGACAACCAACCACCCAAAGATAGACCAAGCATATCATATTGTCCGGGTTCCCCGTCCAACTTCGTCCCCACGCTCCCCACGGTTCTTTCGTCACGACCGGGTGAACCCGGTCTGGTTCCCGGTCACGACCGCGAGGTCGAGCCGTGCGTTGAATTGGGTCGTCCCCAAAGATAATCTCTACGCCGGGGGTCTTTTCCTCCGTAACATTCCGTAACTAGTTATATGAATAGAGGAACATCTACAGCTAACCTATGGTTTTGTGGGTCAAATGCAATTTCCTGATTTTTTCTTTCAACCAATCCGACCAATCCATTGACTCTGAGGTGGTTTGTTGGTCGAAGCCTCCTCTTCATGCATTCCAACTTGCCCATTCCCTGCGACACCGTTCCAGGCGCCCAGCGAAGAAGAGCTCTTTCGCTTCATGGCAGATGTGGATGAAGATGGGTCTGAATCCCCAGAGTGACTGACTGTGCGGGAGAGCGAAGAACAAGGTGATCGGCGATCGGTGATTGGCGGTGATTGTGTTTTTGTTTGGTCGAAAAAGGATGCATTGAACAACGGAGCTAGTATAGAGCAATATAGAAATGTAATGAACATTAATGAGAAAAATACATATTTTGGTGCATTTGCTTGATGCATTTGCAAAAGAGGCTAAACACAAGCATTCACAGGTCCACCCTCCACCACTACCCACGCTTTTTTTGTATATAATAGTGAATGATGCCTTTCAAATTCCCGAGATGAGTTTGCTATAGATTGAACAGGACTTACCAGACTTGGCTTGAACCATGAGGAGTGGATAGATCGAATTGGATGATTTGTTGAAGAAAAAGAAACTTTAGACCAGGTCGCGCGTGTAACAGCTGGCTAACTCATGTTGAAGAGTGCATCAATGCTAGTCCTATACAATCAGAGGTTTGCCAGGAGAGCCCCCCATCAATATGCTTGAGGTGGCTTAAGGCTTAAGGGTTGTTGTTTCCATCAACTATGTTGAGACCAAGTAAGATCAATCCTACTTGAAGTGAAACACAGCCCGTGTGAACTGAGCTTGGTGACCAGGTCAAGTTAGCACGGACAGATCGCCCACTAAAGACTGGTCGTTTTGCCGCCCTTCCTGGGCGGATCCAAAGTTGGACTGCTCGCGGTATGTACATTCTATAGCCGGGCATGTCCATTCTGGATCCGCAGATTTGATCAGATTTTGACATTTTGAGGGATTTGTTGTCAAATCATGTCGCGTGCACTGAAGGATTGCTTACAGGTTGCTGACAGCTACCAGCACCCAGCGATACAATTTTTGGACAACAAGGCCCCACAAGCTATTTTTGGAGTCCTCCTGCAGGATGAAACAAAACATCATATCATTCGCTTTGCTCCGGTATTTATAGAACAAACAATAGAGCTAACATACCTACCCCAGGCCCTCCTCCCCCCAACCAAAAACCGGCCGCCTTTTTTAACCGGACTTCACCACAAGATTGCGGCAGTTTCCATCTTCTCTGCCGAGGACGGGAGAGATTGAGTTCGCGGAGTTCCTCCGTGCCTTTGAGAAGCAGCGGGGCGGTGCACAGGACGGACGTTGGTTTCGTGGTGGCTCAGATGCCGATCCACTGCCACCTTCTCAGCAGGTGAGGAAGGAGACAGTAGTGATGTAGGTGCCAGCCAGTCGGGTCCAGTCGTACGGAACCTGAGGAGAAGGTACGTGCATGGATCCTGGAAGGGGGGAATTCCACCGGGACCCCAACAAATCGGTAGGTGAACCTCCATCGTCGTCTGTTCATTCTCCGGATGTGGCTGACCGGTCGACGGGGAGGAAGTGCGAGCTGCTCGGAGGGCTCCTCCCGGAGCTGAGTTTCGAATTGAAGTGGTGGGCTGATGAAATAACCCCGCGCTCAGCGGGTAGTATGGGCCTGCACCTTAACACGCATTTATATAATGCATATGCATTGCCCAGTGCATTGCCCCTGGATGGATTCCTGGATGGAGCTGTGTTGTTTTTTATTTTTTCCAGTCGTGTGATGACTGGGAAGAGGCAGGGTCACATGCAAGCATCTCCTTTCGGAAGTTCATAGAGGTGTAGATACTTAAGAATGATTAAGAATGTTGGTATTTGGCTACAGAGTTCAGTTCTCTTCACGCAGGTAATCATAGGCTTCAATTGTCAGGTCCCGCAGGCGCAAAAAAGGGCTCCTGGCCTACCTCCTATTCAACAGTGGTTAGAGGTGGCTAGGTGCCAGGGGGCCCCCCTGTCTCCACCGAACCTGAGGAGACGGGGGTGGCCCAGAGCCCTGAGGCATCATCCGACCGATGGCTCCGCCTGTCCAGGAGTTGGAAGACGAACTCGACACCATCGACGCCTTCGTGGCACTGGGTGGAGAGCCCGACAAGTGGGGGCCGCCGTCTCGAGCGGAACCGACACGCGATGGAGAGAGAGAGAGAGCGCCGACCGTTCGAACGGCGAGTGGAGCGGAAAGGAGCCCCAGCTATATACACGGTGGCTTGGGTGGAAAGGGGCATCGGCATCTGATAGGAATGAGTCGGCCTTTGGGGGACAGGTCTTTGGGTTTCATGTGCTTTCGCCCACTGCTTGGCTTGTTTTTCATTTTTTCCGGTAGGCTTCCCCAGACCTGTATATCGTCAAATTCAGTGGCCCTCAAGATGGGATCATTACGCTCAAAAAACGTCCCCAAACAACCCCCTGCAGATGGTGGAAAGCGGCTTAGTCCTGTCACTTGGTGGAAGATTTGAAATCTTTGAGTTTCAGTGACTTGCCAAACCAGTTGTTTTTAGAGGCCATGGTGGTCTGGGAGACCTCCCTGGTCGTTTGACAGGGAGAACGTCACGTTTGACAGGGTGGGGAAAGGGGGTGGCAGCCCAAGTTTTTCACCTGGTGTTGCGGAGGATGTGTACGGCAGTGAGTTCAATTGCTATATTCCTTGATTCCATTTTGGGCGGTTTCAGATATTGCTCATTTGAAAAACTTGGGATGATTGAACTGACGACTTCAAACCAACCAGTCGACGGAATCCTGACCACTCCCCAAAACACGGTCCTCACGCTGGCAGAAAAAAGGGAGGTGCGGGTGCGGCCCATCATCATAGGAGCGATCGGACGCTACTAGGGGCTCCTGGCATCGCTACTAGGAACAAGAAGCTACATTGCGTTGGCAGAAGCGGGTTGTGACTTTTGCGCGAAGACACGAAGACACGCGAAGACACG